ATGTGGTAACTTGACAGAGTGTACGTATTAACTAAAAGTGTGTGTTGTGCTGCTTTTGAGACTCAACTGACAACTTTAAGTGCATGATAAAAAAAAGTATAAATTTGGCATAGCTTAACCTGGTATTAACAAAGTTTTGGCTTTTCTCCGCTAGATGGCTACATTAGCGGGAATTCTGCTTTTGTACTTTTCTGACATCACCCCACTGCTTAAATTATCGCCCGTATTTAAAAGGCCTATTTATCGTCATTATATCTACAAATGATATACAGGTCGTAAAAAGATGACTGTCATGTTAAAACGAGATATGGCTTCCTTCACGAGCAATGCCTGCATCTAGAATCGTATCTGGGTCTATATCATATATTATTATATACTATATAATATATATTAATATCAATAGTGGATAATAGGAAATTCCCTATTATCTACTCCTGATTATAACTATATATATATTATATAACATTATAATATATATATTATATAATATAAAATATATATATATATATATAATATTATATATATATATAATAAGAGGGGAGAGACCGGTTCTATGATTATTTTATTATGCACCCAGTTGTCAGTTGAGCTACAAAAGCAGCTAAATACATACTTTTAGTGATTCCTTTACTTTCATTCATATTTTGGAAATTCGAATTTGTCTGTATTTATACATTCGATATAATATATCATTTCGAAATATTTATTTTATTAAAATATTGATTACATCTGTAGATTATAATCATTACGAAAATTGTGATTGTATATGTATGTGATTGTTTAATTATACACCAAGGGCCGGTTTGTCTGCTAGGGTGTAACCATGACAACCATCGTACTTTTTTTTACTAATTTGTAATTTCTAATTACTTTGCATGTACACATTCAAGAAAATGTAACATTTAGAAAATATAAAAACTGTATTGCTCTGTCACGTTCGTGTACATGAGAAACATCAATACAATAAATTTTGTAGATTCACGTTCATCGGTTTTGACCTCACTACTCCAGTATTTTCACCTGGCATGTTGTATGTTGACCTGTCACGAATCGGGTGCATGCAAGGAGAGAGTAAAAATACACACACCGACTTACACCAAGAGAAATGTGGTTTATAAAAGAAGTGCTGTAATATCATAATAAAATGATAAAAATGATGAACTTCATGAATTTCCATACATTTGAAATCCTAATTTCATTTGTGCATAACACCAACTCTCAGACTATAATGATCGATACTATTCAGGCCGTCCATGAGACGGGTATATTGCTAGTATATATATTATATTATATTATATATATATATGGTTTGCCTATATTATGAAACTGCCTACCCAGCATATCGACAAAGTGCCTTGATCGATTTGCAGAGAATTACGCTTGGACGTCGACATATCATTCCTGGACACGTACTAGGTGGACCGCGTCCTCAGTAGAAAAGCAGCCATTAGGAATTACCTGACCACTCTAGTAGCCTAGTAACGCACTGCATCAAACACTGAAGCCTACGAGATGCAGCTGCCTGATATTAGCTGATGAAATATTGACACAGTCTATATGCTGTGCTATGTGCACGTTGATGATGTCGGACAATAACGTCGTATAGCTTGTACAGGTACGCTCGCATGAATAATGTGTGTAAAGAGCATGCGACAAAGACATGAAGCGCAGCCGTTCGTAAAGGTACACAGTACTACACACTACCCACATGTATAATGTCTATTATATATATATATATATATATATCAAGTATATATACATATATATATTATATATACACACATACATACATCAATGCCGGCACACAACCATCAAACATTTATGCACACTATTATGCTTTCTGGAATCATCCAATAATGTGCCAAAATTGCGGCAATTTAACACGTTTTCACACGTTCATAAAAGTACCATGGCATCACTGTAGCGCCTTTACGTGTAAACCTGCCTTTCTGCTGAATGACCAAGGAGGACATATTCCACGTAGATTCCCGCTATAGCGCCGATAATTTTTACTTTCATATTATAGTCATCTTATTCAACTTTAAAAATTATGTTTAATTTCCATTGAACTGCATGGCTAGCAATCATCGTATACCGAGAATTTTAAGGAAAATACTATTGAGCAGGAAAAAAATTATTTTTCGGGGGCTACTTTTCAAGCTCGCGTGCATGAATATAGCACTCTAAAATTTGGTTTGCAATTGAACTCTATGCAAATTTACGGGGGCTCTTTTTGGCATTTCGGGGGCTAAATCGCCCCGAGCCCCCGTGTATTTTTTTCACTGCAGTATTGAGCCTATTAGTACTTTAAACACGTTGAGAACACGAAACAGAAACGATAAAAACCATCAGAGGCAATTATCTCTGATCAATTAAAATTCAGCATTGATCAGTAATGTTGCAAAATATCGTGAAACGAGATACCATCACTACACGCACGTGGGCCACGGGGACTGGTGCATGCAGTCACGCATACAATATGCCACTTGTAGTCGAACTTTAATTTACTTGGTAAAGTTGGGAGGATTTTCCGTGAAAACAGCGTTGATTTTGCTGACGCGTGCTTTCCACTCAGGTTGTTGAGCCCGCGGCAGAACATCGTTACACGTACTGCCCACACACACACACACACACACACACACACAACGGGCAGGGTTCGTATACCTAATGCCGCATTACAAACTCGTAGTGCGTAACGCTCGATCCTTGGTTAAATATATAATATATAGCACTCGGAGTCGGATAACCAACTCAAAAGGCAAAATACTCAGTGATCTCAATAAATTGGAATATCACTAATTAACCCATATATTCATAATTATGGCTTGTTATGTATATATATTGTCTACAGGCTTGGCGTAGAGTATAATTTCAAATGCCAAGTTCAACGATGTGTACGATTTATTCCAAGTGTCAACGGCTACTCGCAGATTTACAATATTGTATCCATATTACGTGCAGTATAACGCGTTGCAAACCTTGTCCTGGTGGAGCAAAATGTGCCCTAACGTACACGTTTCTGTTAGCTCTGCGTGCAGCAATGACCACAAAATTATAATTTCCATTACCGCACACGGTGAGGACATAATACAACATTATTATCAATAATACACAAGGCCGTGCAACGCGACCAATCGATACATAATGACCAGGTGAACATAGCGAGTGTGCATGCCCAACGGGTGACACATGTCACTACGTGGCTAAGCACTATCTGACGGCTGTGCTAGTATCTATGGAACAGTCTAAAAAATTGTCAAGAGTAAGCATTTGCACGGCATTCGGTTATTTTTATGTCAAAATGAATGCTGTTCATTTTCATGTGAAATTTTGCATCGGGGGAAGCTACATTACATAATAGAAACTGCGTAAGGGCGGCAACACTGTGAACACAAGTAACGCAAAAGTACCGCTAATATCTATTATTATTTTAATGAAAATGTTTTCTGCATTATTATGGCTGTAGCAACTATGTTTATTAATACGCGAGCACTGCGTATATTAATGTTCATGCGTAGCATGACTAATCCCTATAAGCAGGAACCCACACATACTACCGCTAGTAAATGTTTCAACGCCACATCCGCTGGAACTAGGAAATACGTCGTGTGATACGTGCAGAGCAGTGACCCCCGTTTGTCAACAACAATTTTTCGAGTTTTCAATCATTCTAAAGAATCCAATAACAAAGCCAAATCACACAATTAAGTTAGTTTATATGTTCCTTCTGTATCAACGTACTCTGTGTGTCAATTTATAAGCCGTATAAACGCTCATGCACAACATACGATGTCTCTACATATATACGCCACTGGCACTGCGTAGTTACATATATATATGTACATATAATATATATAATATATATATGATATATATATATATATATATATCAGGAGCGTATAATGAAATTATACGCATTTGTATTTGTACGTAATACGTAATACGTATACGTATTCGTATACGTATACGTAAAATACGTATACGTAATACGTATGTACGTATTTGTCATTATACGCTCCTGATATATATATATGTATAGTTTGCAAGGATAAAAATTAACTTTTGAACACGGGAATCCAACGGACTCCATACCCTCAAAAAGAGGGAGTCGCGGCAAAATGAGGGAGTCCGCAGTCTGAGGTTTAAAATTTAAAAGATATTAACAATAACGCATTCATGCATGTGCTTATTTTTAACTTTTAAGATTCATGCAGTTGCACGTCTGCCAAATTTTCTTTGGGCATTCCCTGAAAAAATATGGTAATTCAGCATTTCTGTGAGGTCGTGCTTGGAACGAACTAGTTAGTATGGCAGAATTTTCAGGGAGTCACACGGACTCCTGCATATATGTCAAATCAGGGAGTCCGACAGTAAATCAGAGAGTATTTGACTCCGGATTCGCGTTAGTTTTGCACCCTGGTGTCTGGTTGAAAAGCGCTAGTTTTCCATTTGGCTGGAATGTAAACAATAACACACGCCAACGCACAACATGCCCAAGTGCACACCAACCTACGCACGCAAGCATGCACGCACACACGCACGGGGGGCACGCATTCACATACAAGCGCCATAGTATTTACAACTCCCATTCATGGGACAGCATACGGTTACACCCCAACAAAAGAATCAAATGCTCTTCCTGGCATCACGAAAACCTCTGATAGATATTTCCGTATATATACACATTGCTGACAGCGACATTCCAAAGGCCAAATCATGCAAGACGGCCGCAGGATAAATCGTGCGTTCCTGTCGTGCAGTAAAACAAGTTCTATTGGCTCTCAATGTACTTATAACAAATGAGCACTAGCCTTTATATAGTAATTAGTTCTCAATATAAATCAATAACTTAATAGAGTACATATCTACGTGCTGACATGAGGTAGCTGGTTATCTGCATTTAGTACAGACTAAAAATCTCCCATATATTTCACATCACCAACATAGCTTTTAAAAACTGTACATTCCACATTAAACGCATGACATAAATTAGTACTCACCTCATGAATATGTACAGAGATGCCATCGACCATGTATCTCAACTCTGTGTCTGTCTGGATAAAGGCTGTCACAAGAAAAAAATGTGCATTTACTTTACCAATCTTTCCAAACTATTTACTTTTACAGCTATTCACTTTAAAAAAACCATTTACAACGCATAAATTTACTTTTATATGAAACTTAACATGATTAATAAATACTAGTACACACTGCTTGATGTTACCAAGAGTACATGAATTGTAAAAGGAAATAGTTAATGTCCTCTTGATGTTACACATCAGTAGCTAGGGATTCCCCCTCAGCATACCTAGCTAGAAGGAAAGTACCTTATACTATTATTAATTTAAAAACATTATGTGATATATATAATAATATTATAATGCATAATAAATATATGGTACAGTGTAAAAAGTGGTAAGCTATTGGGTACTTTAAAGAAGGAATGAAAGAATTTGTTTACACAAATAGCAAATCTTATACTAAGCAAACTTTTAGAATGAACCGTCATTAATTCATAATAAGGTTTGGATTTACAATCAAATTTAACTGGCATAGGTGCAGATGGCTGTCTTTAAGAATAGCACAGAATGGATGAAACTTAAAAGCAACATACATACCTACAACACTCAATTCTCTGCAGTTCAATACTATATGTTAGTAGATTACATAAAAGCCATTTTAATGACACAATATTACATCCAGTGCACCTTACAAGCTCATTTGACCAACTAGTCGTCTGTACACTCTGACCCACAAATGCACTTCCATTGACTTACTCACTGTATCACCAACTCCCCATATCTGAGAAAACTTAACGTTATACAAATATAGGATAAGTCTACTGAACCTGACGCTGACACTTTTAAGGATGGTAACAGATTGTTGTCTTAACAGCTTTGTTGGATAACAGATAATAGATACACTACACACCAAAAGTTCTGTTCTCGAACTCAACTACCCAATCAACCAGCCCTACACAAATATAAAAAAATTCTATGAATACTATGATAATTTTAAAGAAAATGAAGATTTTAACACAGACTACATACACACGTATTGACAATAATTTAAATTGAAACGTCAATGGAGGTATAAGATAGACCGTGCACGTGTAGCACTATTATTTGTTAGGTTACTGCAAAATTACTTCTTCCTGTGCACCTCTCTATGTCATTAACTGATTACAGACATTTTCTTCAAAGCAGAAGTATGATTAGTAACCACAGCCTAGCAGGGGGTTGAAATTAACACAAGTCCGGTCGCCCTGCGGTGACCAGTTGTTTTTTGTGGCACGGTAATATTCAGCGTACATTACCTATACGCTGTGTATGTTAGTATAACTGGTGTACAGATATCAGTGTACCCAGTGCACAAGTATGACAGTAGTAATCTGTATACACTCAGGGTTCGAAATTAGCGGTAATCCGATATCCGTGGGATAGTAGATTCTATCCCATCATTCCAAGCGATCGTATCAACATCCGGCAGTGAGCATGCGCAGTTCGATTAATAGAATTATCCCGCTCGGCGATTAGTGAGATATTTCCGCCTGTGTGAACAACGACACAATTTCCTCGGTATTTTCTTGTGTGTGAACATGCCTATTGTTGCAAGGAGCTGATGTTGATCATAAATGTGATGTGTATACATTGCATCAAGCAAATCAGACAATGCGTCTAGACAATACGTCTGCAGTGTACTGTGGAGGCGTATGTAAAGGCCGTCGCACACCTACCCAAAAATCGGTCCGATTAAAAAATCTCTTCATCGTTTGTAAAATCGGCTCAGCGCGACACCTTCCAATAACACCCGCACACCTATGATAAAATGTGATGTCATAATAAACCTACGATAAAATGTAAATGTCATGTGACACGTCACACGGGCACGTTCAGCTATTGGCTGTTCAATATTTATCGTAGACGATTTTCCTGAGTTCACACGCACACCACAAAATCTTGTCGGGTTACACAAAATCGCTTCAAAATAATCGGTTCAAAATCAAACATGTTTGATTTGGAACGATCACCCGATAAAAATAATCGTAAGTAAAATCATCTACAAATGAACGCGCATACCTACCTGATATCGGCTGATTTTTATCGGGCCGATCAAATCGCGTGAAAAATCGGCTGGTGTGCGACCCCCTTAAAATGAACGCGATGAGAATTTTGAAGGCAAACAATTGTTGAAATTACTACCCAAAAAATGGGATACCAGATCTTTGGGGGGATATCAGATTTCAATACCTGGTATCCCGAATGGATACCATAATACAAATCTAATTTCGACCCCTGTACACCCAGCGTGTGTATTCTATGTGTTTTTTTATTTTTATTATTCCTATTAATTATTAATTATTAATCGCTTGCATCAAGGCTGCGAATTCAACGCATCCGCGCGCGCGATTGCAAGGCTGCGCATTTTAAGGCGTGATTGAAGGTCCTTAATAATTGAAATGATCCAACGCTGCGCAGCTAGATTCGTCTGCAACGATTATGGCAGAACCAAAAGCATAACTGCAATGTTACAATCACTTAATTGGCCGAATCTTCAACTACGCCGTAAAGAGAAGCAACTCAACCGTCTCAACAAAATTCTCTTTGGAAGTACCGTGATCCCCAAAGTCCAGTACATCAGGATGGGTCCATCGCGCACAAGAAGCAAAAACGACAACAAACTCGTAGTCATTAGAACCGCAACAGAGGAATTCAAGAACTCATTCTTTCCACGGACCATCGTGGACCGGAATGCCTGCACACAGACCGTAATCGACGCCATCTGTGTCGTTGTAGCAGCCGGGAGCGCCTAATTTCACCATTTCACCACGGTTGACGCAGTAGCCAGTACACAATCAAGATCAAGAAGATCTAGACAACCACAAAAACACTTAACCTTAAATTGCGATCACTTAAGAAAGTGAGTCTAAATAACCCATAGCTATAACGCATGTAATTCTTGATAAATCGCACGTAAACGTGCGCGTAACATAGTGTCATTGTCATTAGTATCATAAGTCATAGGCCTTGGTGCTCAAATTTGGCTCGGGCCTGGTCTGACGTTTTTGATGGGAATTGGCACGACCCGAAAAACCGTCCGTGTGAACGCTCGGCTTATGTCACTAACACCAACAGTGACACTGTAACACTAACAGTAACACTAACAGTAACACTAACAGTAACAGTAACAGGCATTCAGTTGCCGCATTGCAGTTCGACAATGCATTACCAGATTTAACACCGAATCGCTCTGCTTATTATCAATCAACACAAATTACCTTGACTATGTGCTTCTACTCCTTTTAGTGATGTGGTAATTAAATTGATAACACAACATGTGAACACTACATTTAAGAAATCCAAATACATTTTCGGCTGTTGGTGGCCTTCTGCGCCCGCCATGATTAGATTTCTTCGCATTTTCGCGTACCGGAACTGGCGTCACGAAACCGGAAGCAAGTGATAACACGTAGGCTCTGACGTAGGCAAAATGCGTAGCAAACTGCACGACAGATGGCGCTCTCGCTCATGGGCTCAATCTACTAGTAGCCTGAGTCAGGGTGTACGAAGGTGCACTGCATGCAGTTTGGATGCATATAGCATTCACAAACAAAGAAAGGATAGAGAAGGATATATTAACAGGCAATCAAGTAATCAAAAAAATGCACCAAATATTCATACCTAGGGGATTTAATTAATGATATAAGAGGTTATAAGGACATGATAAGAGCCCGAACTGAAAAATGTCGCTTCATGATGAGGGAAATATTATTATGGCCGTGGCTACGCGACCGGTTCCGGACGAGGAGCCGCTAGGCTACGCGTCCTGATATCTATCTCACACAGTGATCTTGCGACACGTACAGGCATGATTGCGCAACGGTACGCTCTGCTGCCGAGTGTGTGTGTGCGTGAGAGTGGGAGAAAGAGAGAGAGAGAGAAAGGTGGAATGTGTATGTGTGTGGTGATGCGTGAGAGCGAGAGAGAGCGCGCTAGAGGTGTGTATGTATGTATGTGTGTGTGTGTGTGTGTGTGTTGTGTGTGTGTTGTTGTGTGTGTAGTGTGGTGAAGCAGAGAGAGAGAGAGAGAGCTAGAGGTGTGTGTGCGGAGACTAGAGCTGTGCGGCGCGACGCGCCGCCGCGTTGTGTGTGTGGTGTGTTGTGTGTGTGGCGGTCCCAGTCTGTACCAATCCGATCGTCTCTTACCAACGACCGTGTGGTGTTGGTGTGTGGTGTGATATGTATGTGTGTGGTGTGTGTGTGTGTGTGTGTGAGTGTGTGTGTGTGTTGTGTGTGTGTGTTGTGTTTGTGTGTGTGTGTGTGTGTCGTGTGAAACGAGAGTGAGAGCAGAGAGAGAGAGAGAGAGAGAGAGAGAGAGCCGCGAAGAGAAGACGGATGAAAGGATAGACGGCAGCAGTGCATATATTGTATATTTTCGGCAATCAGCAGAGCGTCCCGTTGCACAATCATGCGTGTACGCGAATCGCGCGATTACTGTGTGAGTGGATGTCCGGATGCGTAGCCTGGAGGCTAGGCGACCGATTCCGGACGCGTGTATAGCCATTGCGAAATAATTATCATTAGCAGAAGAACAAAATTATGGAAATCATACAATAGAAGCAAGACTGAAATTATACGAATGCACAGTTTTACCTTCCTTCTTAAATAGCAGTGAAACATGGACTAACTTAACTAAAGAAAAGGAAAAAATGTTGAAGGATTTCCAATATGAGTGCCTGCGCAAAATAATAAAAGCACATGGTAAAACACCATTGGAAGCACTAAGGAAAGAGTTAGAAATTTTACCGATAATAGATAAAATAGGATACAAAAAACTCATGCTACTACAATACATAGATAAGTTAGAAAACAATAAATTGGTGAAGAGAATATTTATACAGCAGATCCAAGAGAGAGGAAAAAATTGGGCAAATGAAATTTTAATAATCCTAAATGAATACGAACTGGAAATATCATTTACAGCCATAGGATTAAAACCAAAAAGAACCTGGAAAAAAAACAAGTCAAAGATGCCATCTTAAAAAGAGTACTAATAAGAGACAAATTAAAAACTAGAGATAAAACAAAAATAAAGATGATAAACATTGAAACATACGGATTGAAGGAATATATGAAAGAATTATCATTTACCGACTCGTGTTTGATTGATGATTGCATGATTGAGCTCAAAGTTTACTTTAGAAATAACTTCAGTGACGACAGGTGTAATCGATGTAATAAGAATATGAAAAAGGACTTGGAACATTTATATAAATGTGATAACTATAATAGATATAAGGATGGTGAACAAATAGACGGCTGGAGAGGGGACAACCACGGGTTATTGAAACCAGAGTTAGATTATGTGCGGAAAATTCTGGTGATTCGAAACACTAATATTTAGAGAATTTGTGGCGACACTAATCTCCTTTTTCTCTAGATAATCCCCGCACTTTGAAGAATCGAGTGCCTTGTGAAATACAAGAGAGGGTGCCAAGATACAAGATAGCATACCTCATAACATAACGTCATAAAAATTAGTCTTCAAAGTCCAAGGAACTGTTTAGAAGACGGAGAGAGACAAAGTTGATTAATAGACAAATCAACACTGCGGATCGCAGTAGAAAAGCTTCAATTTTGCAATTAACCAAAAAGGAAGGAATAGAATTTCAATATGGAAAGATAGAAACGTAGAATCCTTTGAAGATGGCATATATACCATAGATATCATATATTACATTATGCAGTGACGTATATCCAGCATAGGGCGGAGCCGGCGTCCGCTCCCCCCCCCCGTTTGCAAGTCTAGAAAAAATAAATAAAACCTATAGTAATTAACCTACTTACTACTTACTACTTACTATAGTAACCTAACCTCAGGTGTGTACGCTCTCTGAAAAATAATGAAAGGTGTTTTAAATCTAAATTGTAGGGTTGAGTCTTGGGTTGAGATAGTGTCATCAAACATCAAAATGTGGCCCACATTATGCCTCAGATAATAATAATAATAATATTATTATTTTTTATTAATAAGATGGTACATTTGTAACAGGTAGAATATGAGCTAGCAAGCTTCTTATCGTCTGTTAAAATCCGGGCCTTAGTATTACTGGAGACGGCTTCGCCATTTCGCGTGGAGCCACGGGAGATTCACAGTCTCCAATGTTGAGAGCCATGCAGGTTTTTACACCTTGAGAAAATTCATTGCACCGGCCGGGTTTGAACTCACAGCCTTCGGAGTGAGAGGTGGACAATATACTTGGCCTAACCACTGGGCCATCGAGGACTCTTTGCAGGAAAATGTCTTAAATATTTTAAAATTTTTGGGGGGAGCATGCCCCCACACCCCTTAGCGCTGGCGTGCCTACGGCAAACACATCTACGCAGCCCCCTCCCCCCTGTTTACCAATTACTGGATACGCCACTGATTATGTGTTATTTATTATATAATACATTATCTGATATGTATTACACAATACATTATGATATATTACTTATATATATTTTAATACAACGTCAACAACATTTTAACACAAACATGTTCATTCCTTGTATTTCTAGCAGATTAACAAATTAAATTACGTATGGATGATCCATACGTCTTATCTTCATTTAGCTCGAAGATGCATGGTTAGTATAGACAAAGAGCCTATATTGATCAATATAGGCTCTTTGGTATAGATAAATGTTTTTAATTAAGCGTGCATTATCTCTCCAAGTTGTACCAAATAACTATTCTATATATGTTCTTTATTATATAAATTTGTTTTTTTATCTATCTATCTATTTATTTATTTATTTATTTAAAGACGGTACATTGGCAACAGATATATCAACATGAGCTATAGCAAGCTCCTCATCCATCGTGAAATTGCATATCGAACTGCAAATGCTATCTAATTCTACAAATATATCTATGTAGTTGCTGCAAATGTATCTATATATAGTTCCCATTTTTAATTCTTTATACATTTCTTATGCACGAACTATCTATCATCCTCGTATTTATTTGACTGAAATGATCGAGGCATCTAGCTACAAACCATGGTAGTGCAGCTTATAAGCTCTTGACTCTTGAATAAAAAAATTCAAAAGAAGGCGTTTTCCAGAGACGAAATTAGTGATTCACGTTCACTCATATGCGTTCACCACTGTAAGGCGCTGCCACCTTGTGGACAAATTATATTTAAACATGGCAGCGCCCACGAAAGGTTTTGGAAACCTCATCCAAAACCAAACTGTATTTTTCATGTGTGACATTCAAGAAAGATTTCGACCGCACATAAAATACTTTGAGGACATCGTGGAAGTGTCAAAAAGAATGGTAAGGCTGTTAGTGTTAGCACAGTACTCAGGGCTCCCTCTGGATGTTTGTTGAAGTTGAGCTTGGACTTGAGCCACTAATATTATTATTAATAATAATTTCATATTATTATTAATATTAATTATTAATATTTTTAGCCACCAATGAAAAACTATAACTTTAGCCACTGTTCACAGTTTTTTTCTTCTAGGTCCAAGCAGCTAAGATATTGGATATTCCTCTAATAATTACTGAACAGGTACGTACTGATCCATTCATACCCCTAACCCTAACCCTTTATTGCTTTAATATTTATTTACGGATAATTTTATGGACTCTAGCTAGTTAATGATATCACCATCAATTGACTCAATCCTAGTTTAGAAGCCCTAAAATCATCACTTTAGCACTAAACCTGTAACCCCTTTGCCACAAACCTAATTTAAAAAAATATGGTAAGACCAGTCTAAATCCTGCCAGTAAAATTGAGTAAGGTAATTATAGTTATACAATGAGTTATTTGATTATGGAATAATTGATTCTCTCCGATGTACCCTGTATACACACTGTCCAGCTAAATTATGCTAGATAGACAAAAAGAATAAATAATTCAAACACAGCAGTCGAGAAATGATTACCCGGTATTCTATGTATTATTATTCGTGCACATATTTTTCAGTATCCAAAAGGACTTGGAAACACCGTTTCAGAATTAGATGTGACGGGAGCGGTTGGAGTGTGGCCCAAGGTCACATTCAGCATGCTTATACCTGAAGTGAAAAAAGCCCTACCCACTCTCTGTGGTGGAAAGCCCAAGAGTGTCATCCTCTTTGGACTTGAGGTCAGTTGCAGGGAAAATCAATCAAACATTATTCTGCGGGTCATTCAGTGACATACATGTACATTTGTTACAAGTTTGATGATTGCTTATGCTGATATCTTTTCAGACACACGTGTGTGTGCAACAAACAGCATTCGACTTGATTGCAGTAGGTTATGATGTCCATGTATTAGCCGATGGTAGTTCTTCAAGAAGTCAAATGGATAGAAATTTTGCTTTTGAGGTAAGGTTATAAAAGCCATTTTAATTGGGGCGTTATTACTTCCATAAAAGGTGCCCCATATGTTTACTTGGTTTTCATTAATAATGTAATGTATCAATCCACCATTCGGGAATGTTCGCCCCCCCCCTCGCTTGCTACAGTCTTCAGGGCCGTTTTCCGAAACATTGTAAAGGTAATGCTAATGTTAAGACTAATTTTGTTTCTGTCAACGATCCCATGATATATATATACGTAAATTCTTTTCCAGAGGCTGCGTCAGTGTGGCTGCTACGTATCAACCAGTGAGACGGTCCTGCTACAGTTGGTGGGTGGCAAGGACCATGCCATGTTCAAGGACATACAGGCCGTCATCAGGGAGCCAGCTCCAGTGTCAGGACTCGTCCCGTGCCCAGAGAAATCGTGATTAGAGAAAGCAGGGCTCTTTACCAGTGCTTGAAGTTTTTATAGTGGATTTTTGTGGAGGAATCTGCATATGTAATTTATTTGGATGAAAACTGATATTCAGTTCGTATCTTAGGTTCAATCGATAAATAGTTTCAAACGGATCTCTACATTTGAAGCATTCCAATTGTAAGGCTGTTAAATGTAGATTTTACAGTTGAGGAAAATTAGTGATTTAAATGTTTATTAAATATATATACGAAAGCACTGAAATGTTGTACATTTGACCTACATTTCGCAGAGTTGTATCTTCTGGTGGAATTTTCAGTTAGATATTACGAGTTTTGAATTGTGGATCGGCAGTCGTGCCAGCTGGCTTGTTATCAAGTGTCTTTCGAAATCATCCAACTCACACGTGTGCATAATGATAATGATAAGTTTGTTATAACGTATATTTTGATGAGGATGTTGTTAATTGTATCCCCCGCGACGAAGTCGGCGGGGATACTATGGTTTTATGTCTCCCCAGCCGCCGCCGCCGCTCGGTTCGCCGCAGAGAATTTCCCTTCCGCTCTATAACTTGGCCCCTAATTGACCTAGC